CTGTCCTGGAACTTACTATGTAGACCAGGCTGGCCTTGAACTCACAGAGTTGCTGGGACTACAGGCGTGCACCACCACGCCCGGCTAACACATTTTGATTTTTAAAAATTGTTTTACAGAGTGGCTCATGCCTTTAATCCCAGCACTAAGGAGGCAGAGGCTACATAGTGAGTTCCAGGACAGCTGGGGCTACAGGGAGCCCTGTCTCAAAAAAAGACCAAAGGGGGGAAAAAAATCACTTTATATTTATTTATTTACTTACTTACTTATTATGGGAGGGTGGGGTAGGGATGCATGGGCACTCATGGAGGTCAGAGGATAGCCACAGGAGTTGGTTCTCTCCTTCCACCCTGTGGTTTCTGGGATTGACTTCAGTCACACTGTAGTCTAGACAACAAGTGCCCTTACCTGTTGAGCCATCTCACTGGCCCCTCACATTTTAATCTTTCAGCTAAAGTTATTTCAGAGACCAAAAAAGACCTCCTCTGTTAAACTATTAATTTTATTATTTGAGACAGGCTTTAACTATGAAGGTCAGTCTGTCCTAGAAAGTATGTAGTGTAGGCTGGCCTTAAACTTGTGATCCTCCTGTTTCAGACTCCCAAATGCTAAGATTATAGGCATGTGTTAACACACCTGGATAAACATTATTATCATAAAAGTTTACAACCCAAAGCTGAGTGTGGAATCTCATGCATATAATCCTAGTACTGGGGGAGCCAGGCAGGAGGATCACTGTGAATTCTTTGTAGCCTAAGCTACAAAGCGAGACCCTATATCAAAACACCAAAATTTTTTTAAAAGTCCCTATCCTAAACAAAAGCACCAGCCAGGCATGGTAGTACCTTTAACTCCAGCACTCGGGAAGCAGAGGCAGGTGGATCTCTGTGAGATGGAGGCCAGCCTCTATCTACATAGCGAATTCCAGGCCTGCTGGGGCTACATAGTAAGACTCTGTCTCAAAACACCAACCAATCATCCAACCAACCATCCAACCAACCAACCAACCAACCAACCAAAACAAAACAATAACCAACCAAACAAAAAACCAAAATGAAAGCAACCACCATAGACTATGGGATTCTTACAGTTGAACACACAAAAAAACCATTGTGTTAGCCGAGCGTGGTGGCTCACGCCTTTTATCCCAGCACTCGGGAGGCAGAGGCAGGTGGACTGTGTTGAACTGAGCAAAAAAAACCAAAATATTTAACAAAAATAATTAAAAGCAGAAGCTGTTTATATGAGCTTATTTTAGATTAGAGCATCGGATTTCCTCAGTGTCCTTCAAAATGAACTGGTTCCTAAGGACAGAGACTGTAAGGAGCTGCTGTAAAGTGGAAGAGAGATGGTGTACAGGGCAGGCTGGGAGGGGAATGGCCAAGAGTGACCTCAAATAGCACGGAGGGGAAGAAAGCCACTGAAAAAGAACACACTTTTGCCACACTTGTGAGATGCCTGCCTGGGATGGTCAGTCTTACGGGTTAACCTGGTGATAGTCAGTACCCATAAATCCTAGGCTGGCCCTGAACTCAAGATGATGAGATTATTATGGTTATGCACCACCACATCTGGTTTATGAGGTGCCAGGGATCAAACCCAGGGCTTCATGTGCCAGGTGCTCTACCACATGAGCTACATCCCCAGTCCAGGACCCAGGTAATTACCCAAATGTTAATCCAGGTATCACCATGGGTGTACTCTGCTGTGGGATACAGTTAATATCCATAATTAGCTGACTTAAATATGAGACCATTCAGTGTGGCCTCGTCCAATTGTTGACAATGTTAAGGGCAAAACCTGAGCCAGGCCTGGTGACACAGGCCTGTGATACTAGCTTCTCAAGAGGCTAAGGCAGGAGGATAACAAGTGCAAGGTTCACTTGGGCAACAGAATGAGTTCAAAGCCAGCCTCGGCTACAGAGACTGTCTTGAAATGACAAATGTCCCACTCCCCCACCCCACCCCCCTGAAAAAGGGCTGGGAATACAGCTAGCTCAGTAGCAGGATGCTTGCCTAGTATGCATGTGGCCCCAGATTCAATCCACAGTACTGCAAAGAAAAAGAGAGAGACAGAGGGGGAGGAGGAGACAGAGAGGGGAGAAGGGGGGAAGGAAAAGGGAAACGGGGAGGGCAAGGATGAAAGGGGGGATGGGAGGGTTAGTATGTGGGACACAGGCCTGTAAGCCCAACACTCTGGAGACTGAGGCAGGAGGATTGGGAGTTCGAGCCTAACAGGGGCTACCAGGCAAAACCCTGTTTCAAAAAGAAAGAGACAGTCAGGTGTTGTGGCGCACGCCTGTAGTCCCAGCACTTGGGAGGCAGAGGCAGGCAGATCTCTGTGAGTTCAAGGCCATCCTGGTCTACATCGTGAGCCCCAAGCCAGCTGGGGCTACAGGGAAACGGTTTCAAAAAGACTGAAAAAAAAAAAAAAAAAAAAAAAAAAAAAAAGAGAAAGAGAGAGATAAGCAAAGAGGGGAGGAGGGGAGAGAGGAAAATAAAGAGAAAGGTTTCCCAAGAAGAAATTCTTCCTCAAGCCTGAAGCTGCTGCTGCCTCCAGCCCGCAGACCTACCCTACGGAGTTCCAAGTTAGCAACCCCACAGTCCTGTGGGCCACTTCCTGAACAAAAACCTCTAGCCAGTCCACACATATCTTATTGGCTCTGTTTCTCTGGTGAACCCAGACTACTGCACTATTTCTTAAACATCAGGATACAAACCAGAAAATGACAGGGAGGGTCAACTCAGGAAGAGAGAAACACAGACATGTAGGTTACTGAGTCTCAAAGAGGAAATCCAATTCTGTGCCCAAGGACAAACAACAGCTCAGCCCCACTACATACCTTTCTTCCGGCTTTTCTGGAATAGCCTATGACACGGCCCTCCTTGTCCATCACCTCAATCCCTCGAACACGCTCAAAACTTCGGCACGCAAAAACATTCATTCCACTGACTTGGGCTGTTGATAAAAAGCACATGCAGTGGGAGTTTCAGGCCAGCAAGAGAACATCTTCCAGGGGTCTGCCTGCCACCAGTTGCCCTCTCCCAACTCTCTTGATGTCACGTGCTATAAGCCACTCATCCAAGCTCTCTCCTAGGGATAGAGAAGTAGGACCATAACAGCTTGGATGCTGACTGCAGCTCAGCATCAGCATAAGCTCCCAAGCACCTTAGGTCCATCCTAGGTCCCTGATCTGATTTTCTAAGAATCCCCATGATCCTTGAAATACACTCAATTTTAAGACTGAACAAATGCCTGTAACATCTTACCCGATTTCAACATCTTTCTGCCAATTCTTCAAACCTCTTTGAGTCTCCCAGATTAAATGTGAAACATGAACTAACAGGCTGGAGAGCTCAAAGTATTCAGTCACTGTCTGAAGCTTTGCTCTCAGGTTGGATCCCTGCACTGCCACTTGCTTACAGTGTGGCCCTGAGCAAGTTACTTAACCTCCCTGTACCTCAAGTCTCTTCAAGTTTAAAAAGGAATATTTTCTGCCCACAAGTTGTCCAGACTATGCAAAATGACCCATGGGGAAAGTTTGTTTTCATTCTTTGACAATTAAGGTAGCCACAGAGAAAGTGTCACTTCTTAAACCAGATACAATGTAGGCAAGGGGGACCCAGCAGGCCACAAATAGTGCATCATGGGTGACAATGTGGTCAAGGGACTCAGGGGCTCTGGAGACGAAGGAAAGCTCAATGACCACAAAGAACAGTCTAGCTATATGCTCCCAGCCCTTCCTGCTCACCGAGAAAGACGACTGGCAAGGCTTTTTTGAGCCAAAAGTTTTCCAGGGGATACTTCATTTGGACCATATGAGGGATTAACTAGAAAATAAGAAGGAGAAAAAAAAAAAATCATTGCATAAGACTCAAGACCCAGCTGCCCTAGCCCAACAACAGAGCTAGTGCAACCCAGCTGCCTCTACAGGCCAGCTGGTGGCCAGCATTCTCGTGCACTGTCCATATTAATTCTTGCAACAGTGAGGTGTTCCCCTGCCCATCCCAGGAATAGTGGGGCTTAAAGAGGTTATATAATCCCTTTGTCCAGTCTCAGAGCTGGGAGGAGTTGGAGCCAGGCTGGAAACTCAGGCTTGTCTACTTCTAAAGTCTAATTATTAATTAATATTTGGAAGCCAGGTGTGGTGGTGTACGTCTTCAATCCCAGCACTTGGGAGGCAGAGGCAGGCAGATCTCTGTGAGTTCAAGGCCAGTCTTGCCTACATAGTGAGTTCCAGGCCAGCTGGGACTACAGGAAGACCTTGTGTCAAAAAGACCAAAAATAAATAAAAAATTAGTATTTGGAAACAGGATCTTGCTATATAAACCAGGCTGGCCTTGAACTCAAGACCTTCTTCCTCAATCTCCTGAGTGCTGGGATCACAGGCCTGTGCCACTGGGTGTGGCCCTAAGGTCTACATTCTTTAACATGGCAGCAGTCTTGACATCCAAAGTAAGTTACAACCTGTATATTAGGTTTATGCAGCATGAACTAATTTCTCAAAAACAGTATTAAGTACAGTCATCCTTCCATATCTGTTGGGGATTGGTGCCGGGACCTCCCCGCAACACCAAACTCCATGGATGTTCAAAACTCTTATATGGGGGGCTGGAAAGATGGCTCAGTGGTTAAGAACACTGGCTGCTCTTGCAGAAGACCTGGGCTCAATTCCTAGCACCCACATGGTGGCTAACAACTGTCTGTGACTCCAGGTCTAGAGGTCCGATGTAGTCTTCTGACCTCCGAGGGCATTTCAGACATGAGTGCGCTTACACACATGCAGGCAATACACTCAAACACATAAAATAAAAGTTAATAAAATATTTTATAAACCTCTTATATGACGGGCGTGGTGGTGCATGCCTTTAATCCCAGCGCTCGGGAGGCAGAGGCAGGCGGATCTCTGTGAGTTCAAGGCCCAAGGCCAACCTGGTCTACATAGTGAGTTCCAGGACAGCTGGCCTGTCTCAAAAAGACCAAAAAAAAAAACCCCAAAAAAACAAAACAAAACAAAAACCTCTTATATGTATTTGCAAAAAACTCAGACCTATCTTTCCCTATCCACTAAATCGCCTCTAGATTAGTTATCATACCCAATGCAATGCAAATGGTACAGAAGTAGCTGCTACATTGTATTGTTTAGGGAAGGATAAGAAAAAAACACCTGTAGATATTTAGTACGGATGTGATTTTTTTCTGAGTATTTTTGGTCCACAGTTGGTTCCCTGGATGCAGAATCCATGTATGTGCCCAGAAACTTAGACTAGTAATGTGATTACTCTGAAGTGACAGGATTATAGTAGCATCTTTTCTATTTATACTTTCTAAAGGTTCTGAGGTACAAACCATGGACTGTATTCCTTGGCTGGGGCATCAAAAGAGCTACCTTTTGGTAAGAAAATAGATTCAACTGCCAACTTGACACAGCCTCCAGTCATCTGAGGGACCCTCAACTGAAGGATTACCCAGATCAAATTAGCCTGTAGCTATGTCTGTGGGGCAGTCTTGATTGATGATTGATGTAGGAGGGCCTAGCCCACTATGGGAAGCAACATCCCTAGGCAGATGGGCCTGGGCTGTGTAAAAAAAGCTACGTGAACGTGAGCCTCAGGAGAGAGTCAGCTAGCAAGCAGCATCTACCATGGCTCCTGGTGTACTTCTTTGGCTGTGAGTGAGTACCCTGGTCAGAGGTAAAGCTGTACAGAGTAGCAACCAGTCCTGCCTTCTGATTCCTGCCTTGAGTTCCTGCTCTGACTTCCCTCAATGATGGAATGCAACATGGAAGTACAGGATGAAATAAACCCATTCCTCCCCTAAGTTGCTTTTGGTCAGAGTGTTTTTATCACAGCAACAGAGATGAAATTAGAGCACAGGTTATAAAAACACCTACTCCAAAGAAGACTGAGGAAGCGAACACTCCTACTCCCAACAACGCTTTTTCAATTGATCCCAGTCTCTGAGGAAGAAATGAAAGGACGGTGTTATCTGGTGTCATGGTTTTACTCTGCAAGGATAATCCTTTTAAAAACCCTATCATATCCCCTGGGGTTCACAATACTCACATAACTGGCATTCCCATTGGTGATGGTGAAGGCTGTGTTGTAACCGTACAAGCAAACCTAAAGAATGAGAGATGAGCTGATCACTTTCTGGTTTCAAGATTAACAGAATCCAGAAATCATGAAATTCAAAAAACTGCTACCTGAGGTAAAACCATGGAGTTCATCCCCTTGGCTGGCATCATTGACATAATCACCTTTAAGAAGAAAACAGAATAGAGTGAAGAGGGCCTGGGGGGAGGCAGAGCTTGTAGAAGCAATCCAGCACTGAGGCCCCTAGAGCTGGACAGGAGAGGCAGAGGCACAAACCCATGCTTGGTGAGCACCTACCTGACCCTGGATCAGTGGCTCCCAGGTATCTGAGAACTTTACCAATGCCATCTTAACCACTGAGCCATCTCTCCATACCCTTGATTTATTTATTTTTATTTTTATGTGTACGAGTGTTGTGCTTGCATGTAAGTGCACCCATATGTGCAATGCCTGTAGAGGCCAGGAGTGGGCACTAGATCCTCTGAAACTAGAATTTCAGATTGTTGTTGGCCATCATGTGGGTACTGAGAACAGAACCTGGTCTTCTGCAAGAGCAGCCAGTGCTCTTAACTTCTGATTCATCTCTCTATCCCAACCTTTTCATTTTATGCATCGATTATCTCAGGCATTTGTTAAAGTAACAGAAAGCTATTAATACAGAAAGTAATAAACAATTCCACAGGGCTGGTGACACTGGCTTTTGAAAGAAGTCTGAGGCCTGGACTGAGTTAAGTAGGGTGAGGTATGGGTATAGAAAAGGCAGACAAGGGTCACAGGAGGGTCCATATCCACCTATTAGGGATCCAGAGCTGGGGGACACAGCTGAGGTCAGGAGACAGATGGACCTTTACCCAGTTTCCTGATGTAAGTGGTGTGCTTACTCACCACGGGTGCTGTCACAGGCAGGAAAGCTGGGGAGGAGAGCAGAGCAAAGCATCAATGATCATGGCTGTCCAGGCTGAGGAGACCTGAAGCAGCATCACCCACTAGGAACCTTCTCCAGCCTCCTGGAGGACCCAGACCTCTGGAACATTTTTTACTCGTCTTTCTTTTCCTAATAAAAATAACAACTATGTGCAGGGCTCGGTCATAGACTCCAAGTTCAGATCCCTAGCACCCACATAAAAAGCCATATGCAGTAGCTCAAGTCTATAATCTGAGCATTGGGGAGGTGGGCACAGGTAGACCCCTGGAGCTCACTGGCTAGCCAAGCCTAGTCAAATCAATGCGTTCCAGGTCCGGTGAGAGACCTCATCTCAAAAAGAAAAAAAGGGAGAGGGTAGAGACCAACAAAGGAAGCCCTGGATGTCCATCTCCGGCCTCCATATGCCCAGGTGTGCATGCGTACCTGCACACACACACACACACACGCACACACCATACAAACACGTAAGATAATAATTACACATGTACTGCAGAAAATTAGGATCACATAGTACAGAAAGACCTAGCCAGAAGGCAACTAGCCAGACTTCCCAGGCCTCATAACTGTTAACTTGTTCACCTTTCCAGATGAAAAACAAAATGATTTTTGAGACAGAATGAGAACGACTTTGCACTCCTTGATCGTCCTGCCTCTACCTCCAAAGCGCTTGGTACTACCACACCCTATTTTGTGTGATGCAGGGAATCAAACCCTAGGCTTTGTGCATGCTAAGGAAGCACTCTTATCAACTGAGCTACATCCCCAAACCTTCAAGTACTGTGAGGGATCTGTGTGCATGTGAATGTGTGTGAGCATATATTAGTGTGAAGGATGTGTGTGCATGTGAAGGTGTGTGAGCATACATTAGCAGTCAGAGGACAAATTCAGTGTTTTCCTCAATCGCTCTTCACCTTGTTTTTTGAGACAGGGTCCCTCACTCTACCTGGGGCTCACCGAGTCAGCTAGACTGGCTGATGTGAGCCCCAGGGGTCCTCCTGTCTCCACCTCCTGAGTGCTGGAATTACAGGTATGCACACCATGCCCAGCTTTTTACAGGGATGCTGAGGAGTCAAACCCAAGTCTTCATACCGGTACGGCAAGCACTTTACCAACTGAGCTATCTCCCTAACTCCTCTTGAGTACTTTTAAAGCTGTGACTTCTAGAATTTCTGTCAGCAATTTCTATAAAGGAAAAAGATTAAAACAGGCAGTTTTCTGTTATAAACTATGTCTTTCCCACCTACTTCTACACAAGAGAACAAGCTTACCTGCAGGTCGGAACAGAGTAGGGATCAGCTTGCTGCTGTCAGGGTGCACAGTTGACTTCAAAGGAGCAGAAACAAAGGTTAGCTGGATACTTGGTTTTATTATATTAAGAGGCTAGCAATTAAAAAGAGGTAGGAACTTACAAGACTCCTATTCCATGCATCTTTAATCTAAAAAGAGGGAAAAAATAAAGCATCAGCTTTGAAACTGGTTCAACAGCAAAAAGAGTCCCCTGGCCAGTCCTACTTCCTGATGTCACATTTAAACTGCCATGCAGATGGGTCAGGCCAGAGCTATATTTTACCATGGGAATAGACTAGTAAGTCAAAATGAACGTACCAAACAGATTAAAGAGCTTCACAAAGAAACCGCCCAGAATATTAGGCAGTCCCAAAACCATGGTGAGGATTGCCACCAAACTCAACCCTCTGACGAGTCCAGAATAGCCCCTTAGTTAGCTAGAGCAATGCAGACAGCAGCAGGAAGAAATGGTCCTGTGCCATCAGCCCCACCACTTGTCACAGAGTCAAACTGTTAGTCCAGAGCCTTCAACAAATTCTTAAAAAAAAAGGTATAACTAGTGAGCTTTCCACCTGCTGTTTCAAGGGACTAGTTTAGGAACTTCAGAAATCCCCCTATGCAGCAAGATGGGTAATAAATACTTGGTTTGAACCCATGGGCAGGGATACAACCCTGCCTAGAACGGAAAATGACTCTGATTTCAGAGAACTGCTCAATTCTAGAGTTTGCCTCTGGGCTCCAGAAATCAGCTATGTATGAAGCATCCCCACTGGTGCCCCCTGTGCAGGGGATCACTGTTCTAGCTAGGTTATGAGATAGAATCCTAACTACACTTTAACAAAAAATTTAAAAATTAAGGCCGGGCGTGATGGCACACGCCTTTAATCCCAGCACTTGGGAGGCAGAGACAGGCGGATCTTTGTGAGTTTGAGGCCAGCCTGATCTACATAGTGAGTTCCAGGACAGCTGGGGCTACAGGGAGACCATCTCAAAAAGACCAAAAAAAATAAATAAAAATAAAATTAAAAAACAACAACAACAACAAAAAAAAACTAACCAAGTTCTGTAAAATGCACCTCCTAGGCAATATGTCCAATGACCAGACCAATAGCTGAACGCTACCTGTTTCACTCCATGTAAGGCGAAACCCTCTGAAGGCAACTCCAGCCTTGAATCATACACATCTGTGCATACCTGAGCTCATGAGACATACCCTTCGGTTGTCCAGGTAGTGTTTGGATGCATCTTCAGTGGTGAACAACAGTTGTCTCGATTTTTCTATGCTTCCCTGTAATCAGATACCAAGGAATCAAGCAACAATCTCAACACACTGGATTTATGTACATCTTTGAAACCACAACCCAGTTACCAGCACACACTGCATTTCAGCTGTGCATCTAACTTCAAGGCAAACTGCCGCTGAATTTTGATAAGGATGGTCCTGTGTGTCACTGAGAATTAGACCTCCTGGCTTAGACAACTCCAGGAGCCTCCCCACTGGAGCCATCATCACCCTGGTTTTTGGATGTTAATTTCCTCCAGGGTTACACAAATAGGAGTCCTGGTAGTCCCTGACCTCTCACCCACATCTGTGGCTAGTCAGTTCAATCTTGCTTCTTTTCTTTCTTTTTTAAAAAATATTTATTATTTTTATTTTATGTGTATGAGTGCATTGCTTGCATATATGTAAGTGTTCCCGTGTCATGCAATGCCTGCAAAGGTCAGAAGAGGGCATTGGATTCCCTGAAATTGGAGTTAGCGATGGTTGTTAACCACCACGTGGGTGCTGGAAATGGAACCTGGGTCTTCTGCAGGAGCAGTCATTATTCTTAACCGCTGAGCCATCTCTCTAGCCCCTCATTCCTTTTCTTAATTTGAGAAAAATACACAAAATGTAAACAATGAGTATGTGATGATGCCCTTCCCCAGAATTAGCAACTGTGAAACATTTAATTATACTTGTTTCTAATTTCATTTTACTTTTCAAAACAAACCATTACCCCCCCCTTCCCATCCTAT